GTAGCAACGACAGCAGCAGCAACGACAGCAACAGTCGCAACTACAGCAACAACAACAGTAGCAACGGTAACAGCAACAACAGAAGCAGCAACAACAACAACAACAACAACGGCAACAACAACAACAGCAACAACATCAGCTTCAGCAACAATACAAAATCAGTGAAATGTTTCATCCGTAACACAGCAAGTGATTATCAGCTGATCTCCCGTAGCTGTTCGTCTTGTTGCTACTCTAGTGGTTGAAGCTGATTTTGTACGAGCTAACAAGTTTTGTAACTCTCCGTCCTCTTTTCGTGATGTGATTGATTGTTTTTAGTGTTTTGTCTTAGTTTTGATTGAGATATTGAATTTTCAAGGGTTCGTAGTAGTGGACAAACTTCTTTATTTCGTACTGTTTGCAAGTATCACACATTTGCTCGAGTCGAGTAATTCGCTTTTATAATGTGCGATTGATTTTTGAACGAGACATGTGCTATTTTGCTCCATACATTTTTGCGATCAGTCAAAAAATGCGCATTAGTTAGAGCTCACTAAGCAAGCAGCGTGTGGCCGTATGTTTATGCGATAGATCTGACAATGGGCGAATGCACCAGCACTTTTGGACAATGAGAGCACTTAGGTTTGACATTCTGCTTTAAATTCGGCTCACTGTATGAAGACTGCAAAATAAAACTTTCTTAAAATACGATGGAAGTTTTTAACAGGACTAGATTTAATGGTCGAAAATCGTTCCCAAAAAAATACAATGAAATACTTGCCAGAGCAGTTTGGTCGGAGTAAAAAATGGCGGTGGGTTTTTTCTTCTGTCTTAAATTCGCCCCTCCACATCGCCTTTCCCACTCATGCAGGAAAAGACCGAAAGCAATGCCAACATAAGCGCGCAACTGTTAAACTGTAAGGCGCCAGCCATTAATATTGCTAACAATCTGATTTTTTAAATATTCGTGTAAAAATATATGATCACACCAGCAAACCTGGTGCTCTTCAATTTTTTTCATATCTGCAGCAGTCGCTGTCTTGCTTCGGTGAACGGACGAATTTAACATCCTCTGGATTCTTCGATTTAATTTTTTTTTGACATGGAGAGAATTGCAAGAGCAGTTATTTCTGACAAATTTTGATCATAGAAAGGAGCTGAAAAATGTTCCCAAGTGTGCGCCGCAAGAGATCTCATTCTTAAATTAATAGTTTGTAGCTTCCAAAATTGAATTAATCACTCCCAAATCCTGCGAGTAATGGGACTTCGAGCACCAGGGATCAAAAAAGCAATATTTGTATAGCAATAACAAAAGGAACATTGATTAAAGTGCATTCAGGAGCATGGAATGCACGCCCTACAAATTCATCGTAAGCAAGGCAATAACAAGTCAGATTTTTGTGACACACGGGAGTGATTACATGTGTTCGCTTAGTCTGAATACGGACTGACAACTTTAACCGCAATGTCATTTTTCGAAGCGAATGTAGAGCAATTTTCGTTCTCAACACTACTTATTCCGAGCGCAGAGCATGCTTCCTTGATCTTGAAATCAAATGCGATAATGTTTGTTGTCTGAAATATATAACGAAGCCCTAGACTACCTTCACCCTTCACTGTAAAGCAGGGCGGTTTTCCAAATACCATTGGGGGCCAGATCATGAAGGAGTTATATCCCGTTGTACACGGTTTTCCTCTCTTCCTGAGAGATTTACATGAGGCCAAACAGTTAATAGGCATATATGAAAATAGGGAATTCGAAAACATTAGAGCAAACCATTCGGTTTCCAAATCCTGCTTCAGAAACATTTCTTAGTATGACGTCATTTTCCTCATTTTCCGTGAAATGTTTCACGAAAACTTAGTAGTTCGTCATTTTCCGTGAAATCCAGATCGTTATTTGCTCAAAAATAAAAAAAATAATTTCTCCCTCCTTTCCTTTATCTCTTTTTTTCCCCATTCATTTTTGCTTTACTCTAGTCTTATTGTAGTTTGACACATGCACATCGTACGTATGGCGTATAGGAGGCTGTTCAGATGACTTCCGCTTCTACTCATACGTTGCATCCAGCCTGTTTTCCGTTAAGCGGTCGTTTATTGAAGACCTAGCTGTTCTGGTCTACGAGTTAGCAAAATTTCCGCTAAAAATTTCATGTATGCGTAAGCGGAAGCCAGGCCTATTTAGGAACTAATTTGAAATCTTTAGATCACACGTGAACAGAAAACATCGTCTCAAAGTTTCAGCTTTCTAGCCTGCATGGTTCCTGAATTAGCATTTCTTCCCCAAAAAATTTGTGTGCACATACGTGGGAACCAAGCATGCTTGGTGGCTGAATTTGAAATCTCCAAG